GCACTTCAAACAGAGCACATGCAGGCCAGTCCTACAACCGGGGGAAGAGATCATGTTTCTGTTTGTAAATCGGAGTGCATCTCGGAGCCCCGTGCCGCCGCTCACGCTCCCAGCCGCGCCCCGGCGCGGACGTACCGCGTTCAGCGCAGCGGCCCCGACAGCACCCCCCGGTCCGCAGCCACAGGCAGCCGACGTTCGCTCCGCGCAGACCTTCTTAAAGAACACACCCAATGTCATTCTCTAGCAGCACTTCGCGACGGTACATTTTAAATGCGATCACCGAAACCCACTTGCACTTCAGAAAAAAGGACCTGAACGTCAGCGGCGCGAGACCCTTCCGAGGCCAACCCCAGGCCTAGGCCCGTGCGCGTTCCCAGCCCCCACAGCCCCCAGGAAAAACACGGCCCCGCGGCGGTCCTGTCCCTCCCCGTGCCGCTCCCTTCGCCCGCGATGTCGGCGACGTCCCCGGCGCCCCCGGCCCGTCCCGGCCGTACCTGCCCAGCCCAGAGGCCCGCCCGCAGGACGCGCCGGCGGTTGCCGCGTTACGCTTAAAGGGGCCGCGCGGCGGCCATTGACAGCGGCTGCTCGGCAACGGGCGGCGGGCCGGGGGCGGGCTCTGCTCGCCAGCCATTGGCCGCCCGCCCTGCCAGCTTGGCGGCAGCAGCTCTTCCCATTGGCAGAAGGCCGAGCCCCGGCTGCTGATTGGCTGAGGCGCTGCTAAAGAGGAGGGAATGTGGAGGGGCTGAACGGTGCGGCACCGCCTCTCGGCGCCGCTGTGGCCCGGCCGCGCCTGCAGGGGGCGCTGCGGGCCGGGGCCGGTGCGCTCCGCCGAGCTGCGGCCGGGGTGGGGCGCGGCGGGCTCGGGCTGTGCCCCGGGAGCGGCGGCTGCCAAACCCGGCCTGCCCTCACCGCCCCCACCTCTGCCGGGTGCCCCGGGACATCCAAGGAAAGCAGCCCATGGAAAAGCACGGCGGGTGCTGGTTGACAGCCGGGTAAACATGAGGCAGCGTCTGCCCAGATGGCCAAGAGCGCCAATGGCGCCTGGCCCCAGGACCAGGGCAGTGATTGTGCGCCTGCACTCAGCACTGCTGAGGCCACACCGTGGCTGCCGTGTCCAACTGTGGGCCCCTCGCTACGAGAAGGACACTGAAGTGCTGGAGCAAGGCCAGAGAACGGCAACGAAGCTGGTGAAGGGTCAGCACAGCTGAGGGAGCTGGTGGTGTTCAGCCTGGAGAAGAGGCATCTCAGGGAAGGCTTTTTGGCTCTCTCTGAATGGAGGTTGTAGCCAAGTGGGGTTAGCCTTTGCTTGCAGGCTGCTGATGACAGAACAAGGGGACACAGCTTCCTTCAAGCTGCTCCAGGGAGGTTTAGATTGGACATTAGGAGGCATTTCTTCACAGAAAGGGATACTGGACATTGGAATGGGCTGCCCAGGGAAGTGGTAGAGTCACCATCCCTGGAGTGTTTAAGGAAGGACTGGATGTGGCACTTTGTGCCATGGTCTAATTGACATGATGTTGTTTGGTCATAGGCTGGACCTGATAATCTCAGAAGTCTTTTCCAGCCTAATGATTTCTGTGATTTTGTTCAGAGAGCTGTCTGGGAGCACAAGGCTAGTAGAGCAGCCTGCCATAGTGCTGAGACCCGTAGTGTCCTCTCCAGGCAGTGGGACCAAGGAAGCCTTTGGGGAACCTTGGGCACGTTCTGGCATTGCCAGTTTGAACACAAGGCTTTGGGTCAGGGTGGCACCTGGGATAATGACAGGTCAGGGATGAGAGCAAATGAATGAATGGATTGTACTGACAAAAGGATAAAAGTACTGCCAAAAGCTGGCAAAAAAGCTTGAATTCAAAGGCAGGCCCAACATAAACAGGCTGTTGTGGTTTATTCTAGAAAAAAGTAAGAGGGTTTCTAAACCTTGGCTTTTATTACTCTGAGTTGCTGCTATTTTTTCCCCTAATGCAGTCTTTATTAAACATGTAGTTAAGGAAATTTCTTTGTGGAGAGAGGAAGGGAAAAGGAAACAGGAGATCTTATTTGTTTCACTTGCTGGAGTATGTTATGTTAGCAAAGTGATGAAAGTAATACAGGAATTTGAGTGGAGCAGGATAAAATAGAACATTTCAGACAAAGATTATATCCTGCCTGTATAGGAAAGCATAAATGGGACATCCTTGAGAGGAAGACATATTTGCCCTTGGCAGAACTGTGTTTCCACAATTCTGAATGTTCAAAATAAAAGCTCCATGACCATTAAATGAAAAGAGAAATGGAGGAAACTGGACAAAGTTTTTGTTTTGTTTGCCAGTTTTTATTACCAAGGCAATATTTTTGGGCACAGCCTGTCACTTCACAATAAAAATAAGGAAATATATGAGGAAGATACAGTTTTAATGCACTTAAAATCAAAATATTGCAATCCCTCTTCCCTGACTACACATTTTAGGAGGAAAAATGAAAAAAAAAAACCCAAATGTCATTATGAAACAAGAAATTCTCAAAAATCATGTGTATTATGCACAAGAACTCTAAATATGTTTAATTAAATTACTGGAAAATGTAATTCAGTAACTAGGCTAGAATGCAATCAGAAACTCCTGTAAAAGGAGAGGAAATGTATAGTGGTATTTCAGAAGCACAGAAGTAGCTGTGTGGCATAAAACCGACATGGAATCTCCCAAGCTGAATGGAGCTTTTCATGTTTTGATCCTAATAGGCAAGAAAACAGGCATGAAGCATGCAAAAAACCCCAACAACCTGTCTTTGAATTTCCTAATTTCAATTGTCTCCCTAATTGCACTTAATATTTTTGCTGTACTTGCATTGCTATTATGAAATTGGTTTCAATAAACAATAAAAACTCATGTGGATCTTTTTAAAATTCATCCTCTGTGGCTTCGTGTAGCTCACCCTTGTGCTAAACAGCAAAAGCATATAATTCATCACAGCAATGCTGGCAGAGAATCATTGATGTCCTTCAAAAAGATCCAGGGAATGACAAAGACACAATAATTTTATAGCTTGCAACTAGAGGAAATGTATTGCTTGCATCTGGCAGCAAGCCAGGCCAGAATCTGAGATGCTGTTGCCGCTGTAAATAGGATGAAAGGGATTCATAATCCATCTCCATGCCCACCATAGCTAGGAAAATTGTAAGCAGCACAAAAAGCAATTAAAAAACCAAACAAACATGAGAAAGCATTAAAATACATGGGAGAGACTTTTTTTTTGTGTTAATGATTTATAGACTAATTGCCATGGCTAACCATTTGAGGCCTGGTTAGTGAGTAACTAATCATTACTTACCAAATATGGGTAACAACAGGTATTGAATTTAGGCAGTATGTATGTGTAATCCAAGTACTGAATACAGGTATTGAGTCATAATGAAAACAGGCCTCTTGTTCACAACAAATGACATCAGCTTTCTCCATCAAATGCTCCATCCAGACTAATGCCAACAGACTTCTGAGCTGGAAAAAATTCAGAGCTGGACTTCTGAGCTTATCTTCTGAGCTGGAAAAAATTCAGATATTATGAAATGTTGGCGTAGGGATTGATTGATAGAAATTTGTTAGTCTAAAAACTACAAATAATGTATTTTAGACATAGTCTTAACAACCTAACAGTTGATACACAGCAGGTAATTGATGCTGCTGTATCTCACATTCTCTTGGACAAGACAAACAGATGAATCACCTGAGCAAGACAAAGTTTTGCAATTTTCTTAAGGCTATGTAAAGCAAGTCTGATGTCTTAACTGCTTGCTTGGTTGGAAACGTCATTTAAGCAGAGTATTAAGTTCAAGAGCTGGAGTGGGAAGTAGAAGGCTCAGAAGGAACAGCCCTAGTCTCGGAGCTGAACTGAGAGGAGGGATTCTTTAGACGGGGGGTAGAAACCTTCAGACACTAAATCAGGTCCTAATGTAACAGTTTGCTACTTCCTGAGGTTCCAAAAATGGGTAAAATTACCAGGCTTATTCAGATGAGTGGAACCTGTGCTCATTTAATTGTTGTACATAAATATTGATAGGAAATCCCTGATGCATAGAAAAATGCTATTGATTTCTACTGCACCACAGAAATAGCCGTGGCAAACAGGGTGGGAACTGTTGCAATAACTGCACCTAGTGTGATGGATAAAAAGATTCCCTGAATCGACAAAATAAAGATGACATTCAGATTTGAAAAGGGAATATCTTTCGACTATTGCTTTCAATACCACAATTTCTATAAGAAGTGGGGATTTAAAAACTACATGATCATACAAATGACAGAGTCAAAGGGATGTGCTGCTTGCTTAACCAGAGTACATGATGTGAAAATTCACTGTGAGATTCAGACTTAGACATTCAGTTTCTGCAAAAGATCAAAGGCTGGTTAAAACTATCAGACAAGGTATGAAGTACCAAAGAAGACCCCTTTTGACTCCTTCAGCCATCATATTTTCTGAGGTTTTCCCTCAGAATAGGCAATATGATAGTGTAGATGCATAAAACTTTATATACATCTCCCTGCATATACCAAAGGTAGTACCTTGCAGACACACTTGTAAAAACATATTTGATCAAAATAGATGGGTTTGTACTATAGATATTTTACCTCAAAGCATGTCTGGGCAGCCAGGAGTGCTTCTTCTATATCCAGTAGCAAGAGAGATATTTATGGAAGAGAATCATAGAAACATTTAGCTTGGAAAAAGCTTTTAAGATCACAACGTCCACCTTTATTTAGTCCTGGCAGGAATGCAAGCAGACACCTGTGACATCAGAGCCCCAGTGTCACAATGGGGGCAGCTGCCAACAGAAGCAGCAGGTAACACAGCCTCAGTACAGCCTCGGCGAGCGGCGAGCGTGCACGCAGACAGGAGGCTGTGCTGAACGCGGAACCAGGGCCTCGGCAGCAGCACGAGTAGCCAGGGAGCAGCTTCTCAGAGGGCATCCAGCAGCCAGTCCCTGGCAGGAGTGCCTCTGCCCAGAGCCTTGGTGCCATTGCTGGGGCAGAGGCACAGGTCTGGCAGCCTGCCAGTTGCCTGGCCGCCTCTTTCTTGCTTTCAGAAACCCGGGGCTCCTGTCCCCACTTGCCCTAGCAGTAGCTCCCTCTCATCCCCACTGAAGCCCTGCTCACTGCCCGAGACCATGCTTGCCATTCCGCTCCTTCTCTTGCTTGTGCCAGGCCTCATCCTGTACCCGCAGCAGGCCGGGGATGGGCTGGATGAGGCCGCACTGGAGCGCATGCAGCAGCGTGCTGAGTACCTGAAACAGCAGAGGACTCGGCTGGTTCAGGAGCTGGAGCAGATGGAGCAGGAGCAGAGCGGTGGGGCCTGGGGAGTCCTGCTCGGGTGGCACTTCTGGGCTCTGGCTGGAATCGCCGTCCTTCACTTGGCCCTGCGGTTTGCACTTGTGAAAATGGGACACGATCCACACAACGGTGGCCACAAGGAGAGGTCCAGCACCAACTTGTTGGAGGAGGAAGAAAGAGGAGGCAACGTGGTTGCAAAGGAAGAAACAGAAAGAAGCGTTGCTGCAAATGTGGAAGATGACAAAAAGAGGGGAAATGAAGAAGGCAGTAACAGCGATGCAAAGGCAGAAAGCAGTGCTGGAAAGGAAGCAAAAGAAGGCTACAACAATGTGAAGGAAGACGTGAACCAAGATAAAAAGGTGGTGGAAGCCAATGCAGCTGGAAATGCAGAAGACAATCAGGAGAAGGCAAACGGAAAAGATGATGACCACAATGCCAAAAGGAAGCTTGGAAGCCGTCTAGAGGAGCGCATGCAGTTGCCTGTTCCGGATCTGGAGAAAGGCTGCCAGCTGATAACGGACCTGATGGACAAACTGGCCCACATCTTTGGACAAGGCTTGTCCAACAGTTTCTACCCGGTGCCGCAACAAGCTGTTGGGGTGGGCAGCGCCTTTGAAGGCTGGAGTCCCAGGCATGCACAAGATGTTGTGTACCGTGTGCTTGTACCCCTGAGCCCCCCTCCAGGACATGCCTTCCACCTGGAGCTGGACACTGCAGGGATGCTCCAGAGGAACTTCTGTGTCCGTGTGGAGCTGCTGTGCACCTGCACGAGGGAGAGGCTGGGGGAGGACATGCTGTGTTTCCTCCACCACCCCGAGGAGGAGCTGAGAAGGAGACAGGACCCCAGCCTCCTGCACACCCTCTGCACCGGCTCCTATCTAGATGCGGAGAAGACTGTCCACTGGTTCTATGGATTTGTGAGAGTAGCCTGGCTGCTCTTGCCTCAATCCCGCCACTGGCGTTTAACATGGCAGCCCTGCAGCCGCTCCTGTAAATTTCAGCTGAGCAAAGACAAGGAAAGCTTCACGGCTGAGATGATCTTTGCAGTGCGCCAAGGAGACTCCGATATCTTTGTGTGCAGCCAGCCTGCAGAAGTAGGCATCCCAAGCACAACGTGGCCGGAGACTTACGCCGTGGCGGAGGCAAACTTCTTCAGGCACATTTCCAGGCAGGCCCCCCAGGACAGCTGTCACTGCAAGTGCCTGCAGCTCCTCACAGGCTTCCTGATGGGTGTAGGTTTTTCCAGCTACGCCCTGAAGACTGTGGTGATGCACCTCCTGAACACCGAACCCCTGACGCGGTGGCGCAGGAGGGATTTCGGGCAGCGACTCATGGACATCCTGAAGTACCTGCGCTGCTCGCTGGACACAAAACAGCTTCACCACTTTGTCCTTGGCAATGCGAGCTTCCCGATGGAGATCAGCTTGCCCTCCGGCTTCCGGGTGGCTGAAGCACCCAACCTCTTTGAGCACCTGGCCAGCAGTCCAAATGCCCACAGGAAGGCCGTGCAGGAGTACAATTGCCTGCTGGATCGGCTCAAACAACTGCCGATCCACGGCCATTGAAAGAGATCCTGATGCACAGAGCTGTGCTTGTAGGGCTCTTGACAGACCCTGTATATATTAACCTCCCATAGTTAGTGCATTTCCAGTATATATTAGTACCCTGTAATTAGTGCTTTTACTGTATTTATTAATACCCCATAAGTACTGCATTTACTATATATATATATATATATCTTAGGATCCTCTAGTTAGTAAATTTACGCTATGTCTATAGGGACACTCTAGTTAGTGGTTTTGCTATTTACATTAATACATCTAGTTAGTGCATTCAGAAACCTCAACCTGTTTTGGATTTGTTTCAATAAACTGGTCTGTTCCAGTATCTGGATTGTGCAAGCTCTTCTTGAACTCGGGCAGACCTAGAGCATTTGTAAATTCCGCTAGTTGTGAATTTGTGGCTGGCAGGGAGCAGACACTATTAATAGCAAGGCTTTTTTAACTGACGCGTACAATTCTCAGTCTGCCTTGCTCCTCTCAATGGTCTCCCTGGTGCAGCGGACACTGAAGACCACGGTGGTGCAAAGATGATTTTTGCCCTGTGTTGCCCTTCCACTCTCTGTCCATGCTGGCCATTGCACACGGGCTCTGAAACTCCCTGGCAGCTCTGCCTGGGCAGGGACCAAGCAAGAGGCACCACTGCTGTGCCTCCTTGTGTTCACTGCAGAGACAGTGAAGGTTCTGCTCATTGTAGACACTCTGCAGGGCTTTGGTGTGGTTGTGTGTGTTTTTATAGGATTTACAATGTTTTGTTTTATCGGTTAGCTGTTCCATTTTAGGTAGATTCAGTTGGTATTTTCCTTGTACCACCTATTTCTTCCCCTCACAATGGTTTCTCCCAGGTTGTTTACTCCTAAGTTTTCCGGACACTTGACTGTCCCTCAAAGTGCGAAGCTCCCTGTTCCTCCCCTCTTATCCTTAAATGGTTCTGTCAATCCATGTTGTGCTGTCCACCTGCACTGTCTGTGATTGTAGCTACCCCCACTTGGTTCTTGAGAGTTCCCTGTCTGTTACCCCTTCCCCAGCACCCCACTGGATTGTTAAACCTGCTCCCTTCCCATATGTTGTCCTCATTGGATTATCCCAGTTATGTTTCCTTCCCTTATGTCTTCCCATTGGGCATGAATTGTTTCCACCCCTCATACCCTCCCCTCTTTTAAGTTGCTGCCACCCTCATTCCTGTTCCTTGCTTGTCCCTGAACCCTCCTAGGTAATAAATTACCTTGGAATTCATACAAGTGGCCCCTCTCTATTTCTTTGCTTCAGTCCATCATTTCTGCTACGGAGCTGTGATTACCACACCGCAGCCAGCCACAGGGAGCTGCCAACCCCTGTGAGCACTCCCACCCTGGGGGTCTTGGAAGAGATCTGGGGGCAGCAACTCCTGTCATGCCTCCGGCCACAGGGAGCATGCTAGCTGGGACACCTCCACTCTGTGGCCACAACTGGGCAGAGACACTGTGGCACTGCAGAAATGATTTGTTGGACATGCAGAACACTATGCCATGTCAGTAGTAGGCCTGGCCTGTTGGAAATCACCCCCTCTGTCCACTGCTATAAAATTAGCCTAAGGTGACTAAGATGAGCTGACTAAGATTTCTGTATTAGAGAATAAACATGGACATAGTTAGGGTACTGCTGAGGGTTTTTCTCCTTTGCGTATGTTGGAATAATGTTTCGAGTCCAACATACTATGTATATGAGCACGTACTTCCATTTGGTTTCTGCTATCTGCAATCATGTAATCAAAATACTGGAAATTCTGATACAACTCAATGTCAGTTTGTTTTGACATCAATATTCATGGTCTCCTTGTACTTTTTAATGCATGTGTCAAAATAAGCTGTGGTTTTATTGGAGGCCAGCTGTTTTTCTTACTTCATGCTTGCCTATCTTGAGAAATCAAAACCCCAAGATTGCTTTCAGAGGTTTCCTCCCATGTCATGGGCTCTGAAGTGACCCAAGACCTCTCTACTGCAGCTTTTTACAAGTGCTCCTGAGTCATCGGTGGCAAGTGACAGGTCACCTTTGAGAACTTAATGTTATGACTCTTAGAAACAATGTCTTTTGGTGTCACTTCTCATACTATGACTGCTTTCAACCCCCTCAAGAGGATTTTCTTGAGCATTCTCTGACCATGGTGGTATTGGAGCTGCTTCAGCACTCTTGACACTCCTTTTGTGTCTCTGACAGTCACGGAGAAAGGGCTTCCGTGAACTCAGCTGAACTTGAAGATGTATAAAAGGCCATTGCTCTTGGGGATTTGTTTTTAACAATACAAATTTCCAAGGCTGTGAAATATTGAAATATTAAAGGGCAGATATAGTGCAATGAAAGAAATACTTATGTATACTTCACAGCACTAGTTGATTTCAGAGGTTTTACAAATTTATCAGAATTCTTTGCATTAGCATACCTGCTTGGATTTTGAGCTCACAGCTGCCTTGTGGAGAGATACTAAGTAAATAAAATGAAGTGATTGCTGGTGAATCACAGGATTACAATTTACAATGTGATGAGTTAACACTTCCACATAATAAAATAAGATGCTCTGTTCCTATAATGCAAAGCTTTAACTGCTCATAATGTGAATATAGGTGTGTTTTAGCAGGAACACAAATTAAAACAAGGTAATTATTGCCTATGGTCTAGCAACAAGTGTTTTATAAGCAATTTAAATTGCAAAAAAAGCCCAGTAAATCCTGGGAAGGTAGAGAAGATGCTGAGCAAACAAGTATTGAATGTTTGATTAGGAAAAAAAATTATTTGAAGGAGGCATTTCAGTTAAGGACATCTTTCTCCAGAAGACATGTGCTACTGGGAGGAAAATTTCACACATATTATTCAGGATCTGGCAGTTTTATGTTAAGTCCTGTATTTGTTCTTGGAAGGTTTTACTAACATTTTTCCAAAAAAACACTTTTTGAAGGACAAACATGACATCTGTGGACTTGTTTCTGCTGCTTTTTCATAATCTGCAGTTTCATAGTCACAATATGTACATTAGCCTTTGACAAAAAAAAAAAGTGACAAAAAAATTTTAAAAACTTTTAAATCATGAGCAATATATGTTGTTCTGAATATTCATGTCCTTTGGCTTTAAAATTAATTTTTATTGCTAGGGTAGAAAGTGAATTTTCTGTCTCTGTACAGTTTTGTGATATACTTTATGTTGTAGAGGAATGAGGTCAAATGCATCATTGATACCAGCAAAAGGAATGGATGTTATATCAAAATAGATTTGGCTCAGTGTTCAATGTGAACTGCTTTGAGAACAGTTTTATTGCTTCAGTTACACAGAAAAATTGTACCCTTAAAAAAATCTTTATTCAGAACATAGACACATCTTGATTAGTAGTGTTAAACCCAGAAAGACATCTGAACAACTCACACCACTTCTAGACACCTAACAAGGCAACAAATTTTTTTTTCTAAATCCAAAATGAAATGTTTCCCATGAGGAAGAAGTGCCAACATCTCAGCCCACAGTCCTGTGTATCACAGACTCTGGGCAAGTAGGAGGTAAGGACTTGAACCCATTAATTGGAGAGAGTTGAAACTGCATCTTCGGATTTTTGAATGTGCCCCAAATCAGACTTGTTTGTGTAGGCAGACTGAAGTAATCCATGAGATATATTCTGCCTGTTGCTGTGAAGGCTTAGATGCCTCTGAGCCAAACATGTACCTTGGGCACTTTGGGAACCACTGAGTAGGCCAGCAGCTTGGTGATAGCTTTTCTGACTTCATATCCTTGATTTGTTAAAATCCTATGTAGGGTGCATTTGAACCTTTACAGCTTGTAGTGCATAAACTTTTGCAACGTTGTTGGGGTGTGTTTTAAGTTCCCCCCCACTTATGGTTGCTCCCTCTCCCCCTCTTTATGTGAAATGATCCGGCCTCCTTTCTTGTCCTCCCCCTCCATCTGCCAGTCACCCCTCCCTCTACCCATCGGTTCATTCACGCCGGGTCACTCCCCTGGCCCCTCCCCAGGGCTGTCCGTCACTCTGGGGCCCCTCCCCTTCACCTAGAGAGTTCTACCAGGGCCTCGGGTGATAGGCTGCTCCCGGGGTCCCCCCCTCCCTCTCACCCCACTGGATGTTTCCCCTGCTCGTCACCTCGGGTGCCGCTCCCAGTTGTTATCCCATTGGTTGACTGTTGTTCCCGCCCCTTGTTACTCCCCCATATAAAAGGTCGTGCAGCCACTGCTCAGTGCCTTTTGAGGCTTACCTCTGTTTGAGCCGTGGTTGTCTCCTCAGACCTCCAATAAACTTGGAACGCTGATACTCCCAAAAGGATGACTCCCTGCATTTGTCAGCGTTGTATCACACCTCCTCCAGACTGGCGGCTTTGGTCTCACAGGCCATAGTTCCTGCCTGCAGTGGCAAACAAACGTGGCCCTTGCTGTCTGCAGTGCCAAGGGTACTGCGCGAGCGCCGACTAAGGAAGGCACCGCGACACAATGTATTCATCAACTTACTGGAATTCTCCTCATTAGTATTAAATAACATTGACTTCAGTCATCCTTGTGAGTCCCTTCCAACTCAGGATACTATATGACTGTATGAACTTCCTTTTTGTCTTCTCAGGATTTGGAGTTCCCCCCCTTCTCAAATGCTAGAATATTATACTATTCATGTTGTGCCTCCATACTGTTCCATACTCTGCTTCAAGGATGCTTAAATTGATGAAGACTGCTTTCTGGATGTTTTTTTCTCCTTCTGTTTTATAACCAAAGCCATCAATCTTCTTCTAAAACTTAGTAGCAAATGAGATCAGTCACTGTGTAGTTGTCAGAAAAGCAAGGACAGGGACTGAACTAACCTGGATTGTAGAGGAGGGATGTTTCATATAGTCAAAGAAAAATCATGGGTCTGCTCAGACAGATTGAAGGACTGCACTAAGGATGTTTACAAAACATAATGCTGGGTTTCAGGTCCTAGTCCTCTGACAGCTTGTATCATCAATGAAAAAGGAGATATGTCCATCCAAACAAATAGGCTTTA